TTCCTCAGAATTGTGTTCAAAGGCTCGCGAAATGACACAGATGATTGTGAAATAGTGTAAATAGGGTTTTTCTTTCTTTTTATTATTATTATTTTTTAATAAATATATTTACTTACTTTTCTACCTCTTCTTAACTTACCTTTCCTCAGAATTATACTTTTAGACTCGTGAAATAGTATAGGTACTTACTTTTGCTTTGAAATCGTGATTGTAAACTTATAGTATATATTAATATTATTTTTTTAAAAAAAAATATATTTTTTAATAATAATTTTTACTAATAATTTTAATTTTAATTTTAATTTTGACTTTTATTTTAATTTCGACTTTTATTTTTAATTTCTATTCTCTTTTTAATTTCAACTTTTATTTTTAATTTCGACTCCTGTTTTTAATTTTGACTTTTATTTTAATTTTGACTTTTATTTTAATTTCGACTCCTATTTTAATTTTGAAATATCAAAATTTTGAAATGGTATTTTGAAGTCAATTTCGAGATATTTATATTTCAGGTTTCAGGTCCCAAAATAATTTTACGTGCAAGTATAGTGTACACGATATACATTACAAAAATCGAACACCAGAATAAATATCAGTTATATTTAATACACTTATCGGGGGTATAAAAATTTTTTAAAAAAAATTAAAAAATATATCGAATACCTAATTTTTATAAGGTGACTGATAGATCCCTAATATATTTATATTACACCTATCGGACATATATCAGGGCTTATCGATTACCTATCAGCTACCTCAATAATTTTTCAATTGATCCCCGATATATACCCGAAATACAGATTTCAACCTGTGACATAAAAATAATGTAGTGATCTTAGTGAAGTGGAATATGTTTAGAGATGAGACAAGTGATATTTATTCTGGAGAAGTACAATATTACTTTGAGCATACACTTACACTTCTAACGAAGAGACTCAAAACACATTTTCTAGTATACGTTAAGTGGTATAAAAATATACCTTCCTCTAATATATAATTTAATCATAAGTTTATGACATCTGAAGTATCGAATACAGAATTATGAAAAGAAGAATATTATAAGGAAGGTCAAAATTCAATTATTGCAATGTATAGAATATATGGTAGAGCCATTAAGATAGACTATCAAGTTGGAAATAGGAATAATTATATATCAATAATTCCATTGAATAGAAGATTTAATGTTTAATTTATTCTTTTTTTATTATAATAAAGATAACTTCAAGTAGAAAACTTGAATTTTAAATATATACTGCATAAAGACGAATTAAGTTTAATTAAAATATAACGTTGAGGATTTGATAGATTATATAAAATTTAAAATAAAAAATTTTCTCGTGCACTAGATAAGAAAAAGAATATCAGTTTCCGATATACTTTAAAAATATTGAGTTTACGATATTACTATAATATCAGATATCTGAAGGAATCTAAAAAATATCATACTCCTGATATTACTATTTATTATCATATACCTGATATTAATAAAATATCGGGTACCTGAGATTAAAACAAAATTTATCATATAGCTATCGAATGCATTATAAAATTTACAAAAGTACTATCAGGTTCTTAAAAAAAAATACAGATATCAAGCTTTCAATATATATAAAAATATTTCATTTACCCAATAATTTCTCAATAATTATCCGATATTTGAAAATATCAGGGGACTGATAGGTACCCGATAGATATCCGATATTCAAATTTTGACCTGTAAATATAAGTATTCAAACTATTTATTTGAAAAAATTAATTTACTTCAAATCACAAAACGTTACAATATTTAATTATATATAAGTATTTTAAAGATATACAATGTAATATATTCTGATGGTTCAAATAATAGAAAATTCAAATTAATAATATTAACTTTAATTATTATAATAGAAAATTTATAAAAAATTTGAAAGAAATTTGAAAAAATCTCAAAAAGGTAAATAAACATCTTTCAAACTTTCATAAAATTATAAAAAAACAAAATAAAAACTAAAATATTATTATCTTTAAAAAAGAATAAAGACGAAAAGAAGTATCAAGTAATATAAAATTACAGAAAATAGAAACCTGCATCATATTTAAGAATTATATAGAAAATAATTACCCTACATTATTATATTATTATCATGTAAAAATGTATAGAAAATAAAAAAAAAAATATTATAAAATATTTATTATCATCTTTTAATAATAAAATTAATAATAAATTACAATGAAAATGATTAAATTTGAAGTAATCCGAAAATAATAAACCTGAAACAAAATATGTTAAAATACTAATTATTGAATTTTGAAAATTTATGTTATCATTAAAAAATTTAGTATTGAACTTCGAAGGTTTTTAATAACAAAATAATATATATTGAAATTTAACCATTAAATTTTGATTTCGAAGGGTTGCAACACAATCAATAACTTTTAAAATCTAATGTTACGATATAATTTTGTAGGTTTTTGAATTAATATAATTACTAATGTATATATCATATAATATTTATAATTTCTTTATTAAATTTCTTAAAATAAAGATAAAATTAATTGGGATGACAAACTATTAAATGTTATACATTTTAAACATTTTAACATTTGACAATATTTAGATATAAATGGAATTATGGTTTCCTCTGAAAAAAACAATTAAAGAAATTAGTAAAACAATACAAGAAAATCTTCAAATGTTTTCTGTTTATCAATACATATTTTATTATGTAGATTTCTTTTGGTCACTTTAAACATGTCTTTTGAATATATATGTGTTTTTTAATTATCTGAATGCCTTCTAGATATACAAGGGTTTCTTCTATATATATCAGTTAAACAAATTAACTATAGTAATTACTTTGTAATAATAATAACAGAATTATTAAATAATTAAATAAATAAATACTAATAATAAATAATAATAATATATATAATAATAAATAAAAAATAAATAAATACAAATAAAAAATAAATTCTACTAAAAAATTTTATTAAGGAAAACTGTAAGATATAATTGGCATTGCAACAAAAGAAAAGAAAGTTGATAGTTAGTAACTAAAATAATTAATGTTCCAGGTAAAATGATATTTGCAACTGTGTTTGTATCTCTCTTGTGTTAATTGTCCTTGTTGACATTAGGAATGAATGCATTTATGTTCATTTAATGAAAAATAACTTTGAAAAAACAAAATGGACATCTATTGTACCTGCTGTATATCTATAGACTTGTGTTGCATTTTAATGTTAGTATCTCTCTTGTGTTAATTGTCCTTGTTGACATTAGGAATGAATGCATTTATGTTCATTTAATGAAAAATAACTTTGAAAAAACAAAATGGATATCTATTGTACCTGCTGTATATCTATAGACTTGTGTTGCATTTTAATGTTACTGTTTATACCTTTCAATACTGGTTTTGATACACTTGAAAAATTCTAACACATGTCAAATTTATGGCAAAATCTTATATAATTTTATTACATATAGATAGTTAATTTATAAATAGGAATTTCTGATTTATAAATAGAAATTTGATACAACAAATTTAATCTATTCTCCTGATAATTTTCATTTTATTCTGAGTTCTTGATCAACCTGTTTATCTATTAGTTTTCACTTTCTACTCTTTTGATAAATTTCAAAAATATTTCTTTCTTTATTTAAATATTCCTAGAGTTTTAGTATTATTGACTTTAAAAGTATAAGGAGCAATTTTTTCACCTTTCAAGATATTTCTAGTTGTGCTGTAACATTTGAATTCCATAAGATGTAAATTAATTTCATATTATATTTTTTAAAAATAATTCTAGATAATTTGCTATAAAGGTTTAAATATGTTAAAAATAATTTATTACTATTATAATATATACTTATTTGATACGATTATTTTCTAGGAGTTACAATTCTAACTTTAATTCCTAAATGGCTAGAATACTAGATATTATTCAAAAATCAAGTCTTTAACTTAATTTGATATATTGCTTTTGGTTTTCTTATTTATGGTTTCCTTATAACCAGAACATTCCAAATACTTTTTTTACTAAACAAGAAAAATGAAAAACCAAAAGAAATTGAGTAGTTATTGTTTCTTACCATTTTTGTCTCACTTATGGTTTCCAGTTATAATGAATTTATTCTTTTCTAGCCACTGATAATCCCTTTAATTTTGAGTTTTGTTTTTAATATTTTCACTGCTTTGCTTTGTTTTTTTTGAAGGTGTAAGAAAGGTCTTTTAGGAGTTATTTCTCCTACACTTTTTAATCCTGGAAATATTAATCATTTAGCCAAAGAACAGGTTAAATTTAATGGAAATAATAAAATGAGTTTCAAATAATTTCTTGACTAACTTTCAAGTTCTTTTCAATATTTTGATCTTGTAACAGTATTTATTATCAAATTTTTAAAAGTATAAATATAAAAAGCAGGTAATAGAGGAAAAGTTAAAAAAAAAGCAAAAAATCTAAACTCTTTAATATTCTTAGCTATATTTAGTTCTTTGTAATTGGAGTATTTTTGGTCAAATTAACTGATCTTTTCAAAACTGGAATATCAATTAATATTTCTTATGACAGAAGGAAGGGAAGCTACCAGAAAAACCGTGAAAGTATAGGAGAAATTATTCTTGAAGAAGGAAGCAAATTTAAAGCATATCCCAATATGAAGGTTATTATAAATGGTAAATAATATAATGATAAATTACAAACAAAAAAAAAAATACAATCATTTGATTGATCAAAGTATTATTATGGATTTATAATTGAAACTTTGAAAACAAGACAAGATGTATGGCGATAAAGATTAAGATTAATCTGATGTTGTATTCCTTGTGATTAAAATGTGGAAACTAAAATACGATTTTTGTAAATATAATAAAATTTAATAGCGGAATTTTGGAATATAATACTCCAACTAGGTGCAATGTACCTAAACTGAATATCAAGATTTTGTCATTGTCATCTTTCATTTGTCACCACCAATTATTGTTCTTCAAATTCAGGTCTGAGTGGAATCTTCCTCATTAATTTTCATATAATTGGAAAATTTCACTAGTAGAAAGTTTTGTAATTGAACGATTAACTGGACCGTTAATAGACTTTGTGAATTCTTTTCTAGACTCAACTTGAATTTTTTTATTGCGTACGCTTGTTCTTGGTTTCTGTTCCCTTTCAGACGTGTTGTTATTAGTGTTTTGCACGGTGATTGCGTTTTTTCTTCGTGGAGCCATAGTGAATGTTCAAATAAACGACGTACAAGTTTTTGTTTTTTTTTGTGTGAACTTTTGGGAAAGGAACAATGACAAAATAAGAATTAAATAGTGATTGGTTGGATGGATACTTTAAATGTAATGCAAATAATAAAATTACATCATTGTGATGATCCCATTAAGGGCTAATTTATTATCTAAACATTTGTTCACATGAATATTTAACATTATTATTTATTATACGAAATAAATTAAAATTACACAAAAAAAAAAATTTCGCTTTCTATATACAAATGTTACCTTTTCTTTTTCATTAATTGCAAATAAGGATATATTTCTAGACCATATAAACTATTAGATAATCGACTATGATTAGGATCTTTTTGACGTTCATAATCTATCATACGATAATTTTCTCGCATTTTGGATTCACATTTGTAACTACCAAAATAATCATAATTACCAGTTTGAGATCTTGTATGAGTATGAGCTGCTAGTGTTCCCCGAGCTGCTAAAGAGATACCCACAGATTCTAATTGTAAATTTATATTATCATAATTATTATTATTATGATGCATTAAAACATCACTTAATGAAAGAATTTCTGCGGCATAACTCATTTCATATATATCTTCGTAAATTCTTGGTACATTATTATGTAATACATATAAAAGATCATCAGGTGTCATCGCCATATCTTCAATTATTTCATCCGGATTATACTTTAAAGGTGGTCGAACTTTAAGATCTCGTGGATCAATCATAATTTCCTTACTAACATAATATTTTTGAGGATCTTCGTTTCGAGGATTAGATAAAAATTTATTAATGGTGTTAAATCGATCGATTCGAGAAATTCCATCACATAAACTTAATATTTCCAGAACTTTTTTATTCAATTCTCCTTCATATATATTCCATTCAATTTTTTTTTGATGAAGTACTCTATCTTCTACCATTTTTCGAAAACTTGAATGTTCATCAAGAAGTTTCATAGCTCTCTCTAATTTCATAATGGCTGTTACAATATTTCCTCGACATTCGGATTTAATTCTTTTTATAAAACGTCTACCCACAAAGTCAGAAATTTTATCTTGATAAATTTTTCTTATATATTTGTTAAGAACTTTTTCTATAACGGAAGGTTTAATAGATGAAAACTCAATTTTCGTACAAAAATTTGATCCAAGAATATTATTTGATATAATTGAACCATAAAAAACATTTTTTTTGACAGAATATCCCGGATTTTTTTCATAATCAATAATTAAAAATTCGTCAGTGTAGGTAAGAACAAGAGGCCAATAGTTCGTTCTTTTTTTTAACCATTTTTCTATTAATGAATTAAATTTGTCTTTTGAATCAGGAGAAACCAAACAAGTATTAACATCAATTAATACAATTTGTTCATCAAAATTTGCTTTCCTGGTTTCTTCACTTAAATTATTTGAATGCCATGTAATAAATGATTGAAGTTGATCCATAATTGAAAGATATTGATCATTAATATATGATACAGTTGATTCAATTCCAAATTCTGATACACCAACTTGTTGTTCTTTAGCTATAACCTTGATAGCGGTTGTCTTCACTGAACCAGATGGTCCATGTATAATAAGTAATTTATGATTTTTAAGACCTTGATTATTATAATTAGTATCAGCTAAAGTTCGATCAAGCCAGTTACGAATTTCTTTAATTTTAACTTGATCTAACGCAAGTTCTTGATTATTAAGAGGTGAAAATCTTTCAATCCATGGTGTTTGATTAATATTAATATTTGACACCATTTGATTAATATTAGAGAAATCAATATTAGAAGAAGAATTTTGAATATTTGTATTATCATCTTTTCTCCTTGTAATCTCTGATACTTCTATATTAGAAATATTAAAAATGTTAGAATTTTGTTTTTGAAGTGATAACCATTTTAAATTTTCCGATAATTTAGATGCTGGTGAATCTTCTAAGAAAGACTTTTCTCTTATTGTTCCATTAACATCATGTTTTAATGTTATAGGTCTCATGGTTTTCGTTTTTGATGATGAAATCGGAGATTCCTCATTAATAATAAAACGATTTGATAATTCCTTATTAAAAATAGAAATGGGATATTCCTCGTTGACAAGAAAAGGGTTCGATGTGTTTGATAATGACGATGATGATATAGGAATGATGTTATTATTAATTAATTCATTTTTCGTTGGTGTTTTTATTTTTTTCGGTGATCCATGTGTTTCGATACGATCAAAATGTCGTTTCTTGGAAGAAGAGGCGTTCGTTCTCGTCGGTGTCGTCGTCGTCGACGTCGACGTCTTGTTCAAAACTTTTATATCTCCTCCTTTTATCCAATCATTTATATTTGGAAAAATCACCGTAAGTTCATTATTTCCAGGAAAAATGGAAGTTTTATTTGGAGTAAATTTATCTTTATTCATTATGAAAAAAATATGAACGAAAAACAACAACAACAGGAAATTACAGTATTACAGTAGATCCGTGTAGATAATGTTTGATCATATTGATCAACACAACTGATCGTCATCATTAATTTCCCACTTGGGAGTTCGTCGCGAATCAATGAATCAACGAACCGTCGAAAGGTCGAATGGTCGAAAGGTCGAATGGTCGAATGGTCGAATCATCGAATCGTCGAAACGAATTCTAATGTTATCTCTTTCTTACATTTTACGTTTCACTTTGGTTATATGTATTTGGTTATAGCGTAATTACAAATTTATGTGGAAATATTTAGAACTATAGAACTTTGGAACTAGAAAATTTGAAAGACACATGAAATCAATCATGGGATAATTATGATGTTGTTTGATATATTTTAATACGAATTGGTATACATATAAATGGATTTATATATTTTAAGTGAATTAATTAATTTTGACATTATGATAAAGGATGATGAAATTAATGACATCATTCTTAGTACATAGTTACGAAACTTTGATATAGTTATTTGCTAAGTGGAGTAGTAAAAATAATCACCTTTATAAAGCTCCAACAAAATTCTTTGATCCTTTAATCAATTTTTTTCAAAAAAAAAAAAAAAAGATAATTCTGAAATTCTTTTTTTTTTTTTCAAAATATTAAAAATTAAAAATTCATAAAATATTTCGTAATAAATAAAAAATTATAAATAAAATATAAAAAAAAATGGCAGAAAACGAAGACAGTTATACAAGTGAATCAACAGATACTTTCTCTCGGGTGGCTCGAGGAACTATTGATTCTGCCAAAGATGTTGGTACATCAGCTTACGAAACAGCTTCCCGAATTAGACACGGATACATGCAAACATTAAATTCCTATATCGGACAACCAACTCTTAAATATGCCAATTACTTATGGGAAAAATTTCCACCAGTTCGTTGGTTGGTTTATACACTTGCAGCATTAAATTCTATTCCCTTGGCAGCATTTATTGGATGGAGTATTTTGACTTTTGGAGTTGTAACAGCTTTAGCAGGAGTAGGAATTGTAGTTTCTCAAGGATTTTTCATGTTTTTGGGATTTGCAGTCTTTATTCCGGTATCATTTTGTCTTTTATGCCTTGCGGGAATTTGGGCAACAATTGCTACAGGTTTATGGGCTAGTTTAGGAGTCGCGAATTTCGGATTAGTTCAATTAGGTGTCGTTAAAAATCCAAAAAATCTTTATGGTCCTAAACGTATTGCGGAAGCAGGAATTCATGATCGTGATGCAAATCGGGTTAGATCTTAAAAATATTATTATTAAAATATGGGAAATAAAGATATGTAACAATAATAATATTTCAAAACAAGAGATTATTACATTTTGGTATATTTTAGTATTAGTAAATTTAGTTCACCAAGAAAATATATATTTTGTGTGCTTTTATTTTTTTTTTTTATTTGAATTTTAATTTTAAAAAGTTATTTTTAGTTCACGTAAGAAAATTCATTTATCCTTTCGAAAACAGGAAAATAATAAAATAATAATAATAATATTTTTATTGGGTTTTTAATGGAAATTATCTATAGTGTTTAGATATTTTTATGAATTGTGAATAAATTATATACATGAATATATAAATACAGATGTTTTTACAAAATAAAAATAAAATACAATTTCTAATATTTATCTTTGTAGGGAAAGAAGGTATTAATTATCACCATTATTATCATTATCACCATTATTATCATTATCACCATTATTATCATTATCACCACTAATTGAACTACTACTACTACTACGAATAACAATAATTGGTGGTATTTCTCTTGCAGTGACACTGGCATCACCATTATCACCATTATCACCATTATCATTATCATCTCCAAATGTTATTATTTCTTCTTGTTCTAAATCTTCAGTATTTCCAATAATTCCTGTACCACTTAATCTTACGCTAGTACCTGGATCCACCTTTTCACCATCCTTAACATTCTTATTATCATCACCTACTATTGCATGTTTTACTAATTTAACTTGTGGTATATCTTGTAATAATGGTCCTCTATATGCTTCAGGATTTCTTAAAGTAATTTGACCATCTTTATTCATTACCAATATATCGGTTTCAGGTGACGATTCACGAGATGATGTATCAAACATAGCAACTTTCAAATGCTTTTCTCCTTCTCTTCCCTCATTACTTTCTTCATCTTCAACATTATCGTTATCATCTCCATCAACTGCATATTTTTCAATATCTGATGTTATAATTTCTTCATCTGTAGAACGTTTACTATCACTGCTATGAGAAGAAGTAATAGAAGGAGCTGGAGAATCAGAAGGAATTGATTGAGGATCATCACCATTATTATCATATACTTTTCCAACTTTTAAGGTTTCTTTTTTTTTATTACGATTAGAGAATGTTATTTTTGAAGAAGTTATATATATAAGTTTTATAAAGATTACAATAAAGCATGATACTAATGCTACAAGTGGGACTATATGCGGGAGAACTGTTTGTCTCTGAAATATAATCTATAAATAATAATAATTAATAATTAATAATTAATAATTAATAATTAAATAATCAAATAATTTATAATTAATATGATTAATAAATAATTAAAATATTTAATAATAATAAATCATAATTAATAAAATACATACCAAAATAATAGCTTGCACGACGTCTTCCACTAATAAAATTATCAAATTAAAAAAGAATAGCAATCTTTTTGACCCAAAATTTAATGGAGCACTAAATCTTCTAATATCCGCAAAATTCGAAGACATGATATTTAAAAAGTCTATATCAATCCAACTTAATATAAAAAATATTAATCCAGTATTTGAATAACGTCCCCACCATTTTAAAAATTGAATATTGCTCGTTTGTTCCGAAGTAATTATAAAAAATGACACTATGGTATTTAAAATTATGGGAATTATGAAAAAGCATAAACTGTGATAATATTGAAATTTTTAATAATAAAAAATTGAGGAATAAATATAAATGTATATAATATATATATAAAAAAAATGTACATATAAAAAAATGTATATAAAAAAAGAAATAAGTAATATTTACCTAACTGGCAATAACCATTCTAATTCTTTTCCACGTGCAACGATAAATGTAATATCTAATGCAAAATCCAATGATACAAATACAAATACAAATAGTGCGAAATTTTGTGTTTTCCTACGTGGATTATTACTTCTTCGAGTTGCGAAGATATAAATTATTATTAAAATTATCATTCCGCCTATAAATCCTAAAAGTATAAATCGATATCTTTCCCATAATCCAACTAAATAAATAAATAAATAAATAAATAATAAAATAAATTATATTTAATAATAATAATAATAATAATAATAATAATAATAATAATAATAATAATAATAATTAAATATAATCAATTAAGTTTATGAAAATTAAAAAACTTACGAGCTCGAACAGTTCCATAACTTTCATCTAACAAATACGTATGATTATTTTGAGAAATTCCTGTGATGGCTTTATTTCTAATTAACTGATTCAAACTAGCAATAATCCAAAGTGCACTTGTATCTTCCGCTGAATTATTATTATAAGTAAAACTGACCCCATTAGAAAATTTTATTTCACGAATATAAACTCTAAATAAAATTTGATTTTTTAAAGGTAAATCAACATCATATTGATATTTTGTACGAGTGTAAATACGATTTGGTGAACATGGTATTATAGATGAAAGTTGTGATATAAATTGATTAACGAATTCATTTTTTTGAGATTTATTTAAAGAAGTATAATATTCTGATCCTAAAGGAGTGAAACGAATAATAGTACTTTTTGAATCAGGGTTGTTGTATTCATTTTCTACTGACAAATCTAAATGAAATAACAATGACAATAATAATAATTAATGAATAAATAAATAGTGAAAGAAAGAAGAATAAAAATAATAATAAATAAAATAATAATAATAATAAATACTTTTATTAATATTAATAATCCAAATATTCTTTTTTACTCCTAATAATCGTTCACCAGATCCGTCCATTACAAATCCATCATCAATCAACACATAATAACTATTATCAGGTTGATTAAAAGTACTTGATAAAATTGTGACTTGAATAGTTTTACTATCATTTGATAATGTAAAAAATTTTGAATTGGATCCTGAAATTGTTTGTCGTAATATATCTTTATTATTGTTATCAACCATACCACCGTTTCGTTGCCAAATACTTATATTACCAGTTGATAAATAAATAGGAATTGAATAAGTTATATTTATATTTGTTATATTAAATCCAGATTCAGAATTTATAGAAGGAGAAGTAGATATTATAAATGCATTTCCGTAGTAACTTCCATTTCCAGGAGCATTTTCACCTTGAACTATTTAATTAATTAAATGATAAATAAATGATAAATAATAAATAATTAATTAAATAATTAATTAAAAATAAATAATTAAATTAATTACTTGTGCTAAAATTTGATAAAGTCCGATCTGTCATCAAACTCCAAGATGTTGTTGTATAATTAAATCCCCAAATACTATTATTAGTAGGAAAAATGCCTACTAATCCTTGCATAATATAATTATTAAATTTAAGAGACATACTCCGATTTCTTTTATCATCAAAAACAATACCTTCAATTTCGCTAGAATTCTTAACAATTAACATATCACCACCATAAAATAAAGGTATAATTTGCAAATAATTTAAATTTGGATTAATACTGGAAGGAAGATTAAAAGTGTAAGTAGAATTTAAAGACCCTGAACTCAGGAAACCAATTTTCACAAATGAATCATTATTAATATTATTATTATAAATTATACAATTATAACCCAAAAATGCATAAGATATAGAACAACTATAAATTTTATAATAATTAATAGTATCTATAACATATAATTGAAATGGTCCTTTTACAATCGTATTATTATCTGGAGAGATAAATGATACGGAAATTTTCCAACTAGTTGAAGTTTGAATTGTAGTTGCATTTGAAGTTATTATTGCATATCCACCATCTTCTGTAGCAAATAATTTAGTTCTATTGGTGGTGAAGTTATAAATATTGTCAATTGATCCCACAGTTAAATTATTTATTGATCCACTTCTAAAAAAATATTGAAAAATATTGAAAAATATTGAAAAAATATTAAAAATATTGAAACTATTGAATATTGAAATTATATCAATTATTAATTATAATTAATCAATCATATTAATAATAATAATAATAATAATAATAATAATAATAATAAAAAAAAGATTGAAAAATTATAAATAATACTCACCGAAATGAATATTTAACCCACTTAGCCTTTTGTTGTTGAGATATAAAACAAACTCTCAAGAATTCTCCAGTATCTGGATTAATATTTAAAACTATTTCACTATCTGTACAATTTGAATCTTGAAAAGTTACGTTGCTAAATAAAATGAATAAATAAAGTGTATAAATAAAGTGTAAATAAAATATAAATAAAGTGTAAATAAAAATAGAAAATAAAGTGTGAATGAATGAATGATACCTCATTATTTTACCACTCCAATCTATTATCGAACCACAAGTTTCCAAAGAACTTGGTTCACAAAAATAAGTCACCAATACATAAGAATTAGAAATTGGAAATATTCTTATAACATCTTTATTGTTATTGTTTTCATCACTTCCATTAATATGACAATAATTTGAATTGTGTATTCGTAAATCAATATTATCACTTAAATTGAAGATTGATCCATCGGTTTTGATTATTTTAAAATTTAATTCCGGGAAATTACTATTACTACAATACATGTTCGTGGTGTTGGTGTTGTTATTAACACGAATTAAAATAGTTCCATCTTCATAAATTATTTTATCTATTATTTCAACAGTTTCATTAATTGTTAATGTAGTTCCATTAAATGTTAATTCAGTTTGTTCAATTTGTTGACCTAAAGATGATAAAGTTAATGATGATAATAACAATAACAATAATAACAACGATATCCTTCTTCTTCCTCCTCCTCCTCCTCCTGATTTTATTGTTATCGTTGTTGTTTTTTCGAATATCCAAGATTTTCTTTTCATAATCAAATTGTCCCAATTTTTTTTTTTTTTAACTAATTTTAATGAATTTCTAAAAACCACTTATTTTTTTTTTAATTCATATGCACACACTATATGTATATAAATTAAAATTTATTACGCGACAGAATTATTTTTCACTCTTCAACTCTTTCGTTTTATATATATATATATATATCTCTATCTGTCTTTTGTCCCTCTTGTTGTGTCAATTTATTTTCGTTAACCAAAAAAATTGGTGAATTGATGATTAAATAAATAGGTTGTTGAATTATTAATGAGGTTTATTTATATATATGTATATATATATATATCGTATATATCGTGATTGTATATAATGCAAAAGAATAAATTCAAAAGTAAAATAAAAAAAATATTAAGTAATATAATAAAATAAAAAAAATTCAATGGCGGTTTATGGCTTATTATATATTTTTATTATCATTTTCAATGAAACGATTAAATATATCTATAATATTATATTATGATTTTTATTTATTGATTTTATGAATGATTAAATGTTTGAATTTAATTTTTTCCTTTTTTTCCTGAGTAGTTAAAATTGTGCTGTGTTCTCGTGTATATATTTGTGCTATCTCTCAAATTTTTTTTTTGTGTGCGTAAATAATGACATGAATTACATAAAATCAATTATAAATTATACATTTATTTATTTTAAATATATAAAAATTGTTGGAATATAGGCTGCCCAAGTTATTATTATCCGATATAAATAGATATCGTAACAATAAAAAGCAATACAATTATAATAATAGATAATATATCGGATATATATATAATAATATAGTAATTGGTTAGTAATAATTTTTTCTTGGCGGGCTTTTTTCGTAAACTCGTTCATTATTTAATAATATCAGATATAGAAAAGAGGAAATTCAGGAAAAAATCGAAAGATCGTCATCACATTTTATTAAAAAAAATTTTTTTTTTATTTATTTTATTTAGTAATTGTAATTGATCAAAACTCAACGAGGGGATAAAGGAGTCATAAAATACATTATATTATTGTATATATATTCGATTTAACTATATTGAAAATTTTACTATTATATTCTATATTATATTCTATATTAGATTGAAAATAATATAAAAATATTACAAAACTATTAATAATTAAAAATTTCTACATTCTCAATAGTATACTATCTAAATTTATATGTATATATATATATACACATATATAATCTATATTTCTAATTTTAAATTAAATATCTAGAAAAGTTAAAAATAGGCAGAATATATATATATATATAATAAATATATATGGGTTAATAAATAGAGTTAAAAATAGTTATGTCACCAGTGACAATTGTTATATACATGTGATCGTTGTTTTTATTTCTTTCTGAATTCTTGGCTCCTTTTGGGCTATATCCGCTCAATTTTTTACCTGGGTTCTTATACTAATGTCACTATCGGCATAGTGTATACTGAAAATCATTGTTTAAGGAATCTGGGTTTTTCTTTTCTTTCTTTCAAAGGTTTTGTATACAGTATTTTTAATACAATGGCTGGGTTAGGTAATATTTTGAATCTATAAATAAATTAAAAATCAAAAAAAATCAAAAATTTGCGATATAAAGATTATTATTATGTGTTTATAAATTACTCATACTGTCGATTGCTGCTGCTTATTACAGTATCCCATATTTCGGATTTTTTCTTTTGAACCGACTCCATAAGGCTAACACCCACGACATAACACAGTATAGCACTTACAGTATAACACATACAATATAACACGTACACACGGTATAACAAACAGTAGAACAACAGTAAAGTAGAATAGAAGCGCGTATTGTTGTATAGCCAGCCAAAATGAATTATCCACTTTTAATTATTATTTAAAGTTATTTTTATTTTATTTATTTTTTAATTTACCGGATTTCAAACGGATTTACCGAATAATTATAATAATTATAGTAGTTTGAGTAATTATAGTAATTATTGGTTTAAAAAAAAAATATGAAATCGGTGTAATATACCACAACATAATATAACGATGAACGAACTTTACTTACCTTTTAAAATAATTAAATAAAGCTAGAAGCTGAACTGGATGCAAAAAAAAAAAAAAAAAATCGGAATTTGTGTCCGATTTTTTTTTCTCTTCACGTTAGACCTATTGTTTACTTGACAAAATATTCAATGGTTTTTGTTTTTGTTTTTGTTTTTTTGTTTTTTTTTTATTGTGGTTACATGATTGATTGATAACAACTGATGAGAATAAGGGTATAAAGAGAGTAAAGATGATTAGAAAATATCTCCTTGAATGATCTATTATAACAAAATCTTATTTACTTAATTTATCACGAGTTCCCAATGAAACATATAAAAAAAATATGTTTACCATCTTGTGACTTTAATTAAGTCTAACCACAAATGTACTTTATCACCCTACATGAATGCGTAGATGAATGAAAAAGTGGTTCTTTCTGAATTTCGTAGAAAAAAAGTTTAAAACGCTTAAAATATAAGTTTTTATCATCTAATAACATTTAGAGTTAATAATAATTTATATTATAATAAATCGATAAAATTATGTATTTTTTATCGTTTGAATTATTAGAACTCTTTAGAATGATTAAAATTTGCAACATCATGTGAAATGATTAAAATTTTCACGTCCATGATTTTCATTTCTCTCCACATTCTTATGCCCCTATTAAAGAGCCATATACAAAAATTGATGGTGTGGCAATCACTTTCAATGGTCGTTTTCCTTGTAAAACTGTCTCAAAGATAACGATAGAAGAATACAATAATTTCCTTGAAAAGCAAAGAGTCATCCAAGTATAAATATTTACGAAAAAACAATGATGTATTTCTAGTTGACGTGAGCGACCCCAAATACAATACTGTTGTTTCAGTACTAAAAATGCTACTTAATAATAATAATAACAATGATAATAATGTTGTTTATAACCTGCCAATATTTGCCGTTGGTAAATAGATGTAACAAATTTATTTGCCAAACCTGCAGTGTCATATTTGACCGAGCACAATTTCTAATATTAATATTTCATTTCGAGCATTAATTGTATGTGAAAGTAAAGTTGCATAGTCTTGTGCTTAACACAATCTCCGATCTATAACACATATTTTTTGAGTTACAATTCGAATCCACACAACATAGTCTTAAGTTTTAATTCCGAATTTATATTAAGCTTTAATCCTGAATCCGAATATTTTATCATAAGCTTTAATTATTTTGCATACATGTTGGAGTGTAAAATAATCATGAGCTTTAATTTAGTTTTAATAAAATAAACTCGTGCATACATGTAGAGTGTGAAATCATGAGCTTTTAATAAAATAAACTTGAATATACATGCTAGAGTATGAAATAAATAAATTCCGAATTTATACTATGTAGTCTTAAGCTTTAATCCTGAATCTAAATTTAAATTTATAGTCTTAAGCTTTATTTTTAATCATGAACTTTAATTTATTTTTACATACATGTTGGAATGTGAAATTCATGAGATTTAATTTATTTTTTAATAAAATAAACTTGTGCATACGTATAGAGTGTGAATTCATGAGCTTTGATAAAAAATAAACTTGAATATACATACTAATAAATAAAGTTGAATATACATACTAAATTGTGAAATAATAAATCTATATGCTAAAATAAGTACAAATCTATTATTAATTTCGACCAAATTAATTACAATTACGCAATTACGAAATTACGAAATTACGGCAATAATAATCTAAATTGGCATCGATTTCAATAATATTAAATTAAAGAAATGATTAATATATTTATAGAAAATATGTTAGATGGTGTGCCTATAGCAATTTGCAATCATTAATACATACTATATATACTAAGTGGAGATAATATTATGTATAATTTACGGGACGGGATATTTATTGATGTCAATACAAGCAATTGATATTGAAGCTCATCGTGAGGCAATTTTGTCTTATTGTCAGTTAAATGATTTTTTGACCATAGTAACTTTTAAATTTAAATTATATTAAACAGTTCTTTGTTGAAATCAGTAAATCATATTTTATTACCAAAAGTCTCAAGAGCTTCACCTAAAAGTTATACATAAAGTATTTGGATAAGATCCAGAATACGACTAACAATGGAACGTCGTCGATGTTCTTTGAACCAAGTCTATATTTTACAATTTTCTCATGTCTGGATGCATCATAAGTTTCCAAAAACCTTTTTTGCTCAATATTGTGTACCCATTGCTGTAAATGACTTATGGGGCTCTAATTGTTACGTGCGTTATACATTGTTGCAGATTTCATATAATGAAGAACATAATGATTCTTATCATGGAGAATTATTTTTTTAATTTCTACGCAAAATATATTATAAAAAATATTATATTAAAATAAACACATACATATATATACATCTTAAAGTCAGTGGAATAAAGTAAAAATGGATTATTAAAGATAATAAAATTATGTAAAAATTTAGATATTAAATTATATATATGTCTATAATCATGAATTAAATCAAATATTATTTCTTATTAATGAATTTGTATGTATACTTTCTTAATATAAAACAAAAAATTAAATAAATTAATCATCTAAGAAAGAATCACTTTTACAACAAATCCAAAATCTTTTTTTTTTCTTTTCATCCTTTTCTTTTTTAATAGACCTCGTTAGAGTATTTTGTGTGATTGTTTGCGTGGTTGTTGGTACATCATTATTAGTGTTATTATCGATATCATTAGTGTTAACGTTACTATTAGTGTTATTATTGGTATCATTGATGTTAACGTTATTATTATTAGCGTAATTATTGACATCGATATCATCATTGACTATTGAACTTTTTTCGTCTGAAATTCTAAAAGAAATTATTGAAATATAAATATGAAAAATTAATTATGAGAAAAAATTTAAATTTGTTTATAAATGTAGATTTTTATTTTATCAAAGAAACATAATAAATACATATAAAAGTACATAGTAATCTTGTTACATGACATATACAATAATAAAAATATTTTTCTATGAATGATATTTTCTTTCTAAATATTTCTTTGAATATAATTTGCATAATAATAATAATAATAATTATTATTATTATTATTATTATTATTTGATTTTTGATTTGAATAAATTAATTAGTTAATTATGCTTACACTTTAGTTCCCTTAACATAAGTACCAACAATTTCTACAAATTCTTTTCCTTGAATACGAGCAACTTCTTTTTCTTTTTCAGAAATAGGTCTACTAGCATCACTACCAGTAATGGTACCAGAACCCCAAAAGCTTCCTCCAATTACTTCATTTGTTTCACCTTGATATGGTACTCCAGAACTTAAAGGAACAAAATTAACTCCATGATGAGCGAAATATGTGACAGTAGTAAATGCGGTAGTTTCTTGTCCACCGTGTTGAGTGGCAGTCGAAAAAAATATTCCACCAAATTTTCTCTTTAATGCATTTGTATACCAAAGTTGACCGGTGCTATCAAGGAAAGATTTAAATTGAGCAGGGAGTGTACCAAATCTTGTAGGAAAACCAAATAAGAAACCATCAGCTTCGGCCAATTTAGTAGCAGTAATTATTGGAATATCAGGTTTAGGTGGAGCATGCATTTTAGTAAGAACCTCTTGAGGGAGAGTTTCTGGAACTTGGAATAATTCAACTTCTGCTTCAGGGTCAGCAGATTCGACACCTTTCTTGACTTCAAGAGCTAATTGGTAGATGTGAGTATAAGTGGTATAACTTTAAATTATTGAATGAATGAATTAAAAAATGTTAATTGGATAATGATTAAAATAATTAAATAATTAAATTAAAATAACTTACATGATTATGAAAATTTTCGTCATTTTTAAAAAATATTATTTTAAAACTTTTGATATTTTTAAATTTATTTTTATTTTTTAATTTATTAAATTTTTATTTTTTTAATTTATAAATCTTTGAATAAACTTTTCGAATTGATGAGATTTTCCAACCCTTTTTATAGTTTTTTTTAGGATAGTGAAATAATTAAACCTCGATGACTAATTCTTTTGATTTGTAAAATTCGAAATCTAATCCTTACTAATATAAATGATTTTCATAAAAATTTGTAATCGGAATATCTTTTTATCCTTTGAAATGTCATTATTTTTTTCGCACGCCAAATATCAATTCAACTATCAATGTCATTTATAAACATAAATTACATCACAAATTATGATACCATCACAAAATAAAGAAATAAAGACTACGAATTCACCTTCACCTTCTTAATGAAATTGCCAACAATAAGAATTCCATCTGATCGACTTGACCATGTGATGTCAAGATTCAGTTTATTTAGTAATCCAGATTCGATCATTATTGATCAGCCGATAATGAATTCTGTATCCGTTCAGTTAGTAATCCAGAACAATTATTATTATTAATCAGTCGATAATGAACATTCCTAGATTTCGTATCCGTTTATTTTTGGTTAATTCAAAACACAACAATACAATAAGCAGTAGTATGATATAATAAAAGATGCACATGTAACGTAAATGCGTATGCTCTTGTTTAGTTATGGTTTAGTTCCAAAAACCATAGATTTATAATCAAAATATGATATTCTTCGAATTATTTGACGAATATTTCGGATATCTTACGGTTAATTTTCAACATATTGAATTCAAACTTTTAAATAACCTTTCAAATTAAAAGATTTTTAACTTTTTACTTTATATTTCTTGAGTTTTGAATATTATACTTTCAAAAACCATTTATTGTTAAGATCCTCTTTTTCAATAGATTCCCAATATTTATATACGTATTTCGATAGATCTATATGAGTCTTTTATTTTCTTTGGAAGCTTAAAACTGGTAAAAGATTATAGTTACACAAATTTCTACTCGAATTTAATTTGATTAAGATAAATGATTCCATAAATTTTGTTTCAAAAAAAAATAAATTTAATAAATATAACTAATAAATATTATTATTAATTAATAATTCCCTATTTAAAAGCATGACTTTACTGAAAAACTAATTCAACTACTATTTTCACTATTTTCACTATTTTCATTATTATTTTCTCCATTTTCTTTAATTTTCCTCACTTTTTCCATTACTACTTTGACTTTCATCAATAACTTGTTCAATTTCATTTAAATTGGCATTAGAGAATAAAGTTCCAGGATAAACTTTACTACCCCATTTTGGATGTAATAAAATATTACAACATCCTACATTTTGAATTGAATATTTCAAAAGTTGTTCGGCTCCATGTACATCTGGATACATTGATGGTCCTCGATTGGAAAATATCTAATAAATAATAATAATAATAATAATAATAATAATAATAATGATAATAATAACAATAATAATAAATGTTTATAAATATTGTCTTTACTTACAGGGTATCCCGAAGCGGGATCAGTAAGATCTGCCCAATATCCTTGATCTTTTAATTTTTGACAAATTAATTTTCCCCATTCAACAAACTAAATATAATAATAATAGATAAATAGTAATATTGATAATAATATAAGAACAGATAAATTTAAATTACAGTACTCACGTCATTTAATTTCAAATCTTTCTCTTTATCTATCTCACTACCGATACCAATCATATCGTTTTCACATTTCAAAAATATTGGAATAACTAAACATTTTTCTTTTTCAAGAATAACTTTTATATCAGGAAATATATTCTTTAATTCTTGATTAAATCTTTTTGATCCAACATGAATTGAATATTCCAAAATAAAATCATTTCCAGTTTTGGGATTTTTAACGGTAATTAATGTAGGTGAGATTAAAGTTTGCGAACGAGTAGGTTTGGACATTTTTTTTTTTTCAAAAAAATAAAAATGGATCTATTTTATATTTGTTTTCGGCTGATCGTAATTAAGATTCAGTAAAAATTTAGGTTGATCAGCATATATATAATATAAGGTGTCAATTGAGACGGAATAAGCAAATAAAAAAAATGAATAAATCCAATTTTTCAGCTCGTAGGCAAGAATTTTTCTATATAAATTTTTATTTGATCTATTTGATCTTATTTATCGAAACTATATTTTAATTTAATCGATCTTTTATTGTATCTTCATTGTAATAATAATAATAACAGATATCCTAACAGTTCTCTTAAAGCTACTCCAAAAACACAATGTCAAAGATGTTTAGAGTATGGGCATTGGGTAAGCTTTAGATCGTTCCTTCATATCAATATATTGTTCACTTTGTTTATCTCTTTTGCCTTTGCATCTAATTTCATTTCATTTTTTATAGACAGCAGAATGTAAGAATGATCGAGTGTATAAAGCTCGACCGACTAGAACTCAACAACTTACAAAACCTTTAAAACCAATAAAAATAGAATTACCAGAAGATTTAATGCCAAAGTAAATATTTATTCTACCATAATTCCGTTTATTTTCCATTCATAATAATTCTCAAACTACAATTCTCTAATATAATTCTCATAATATAATCTTTGATTTTTTGTTATTAGAAAAGACAAAGAAATTGCTGATAAAGAAGAAAAGGCTCGTAAAAAGAAAAGACTTCGAAAAGAAAAGTAAGTAAATAAAGAAAGAGAGATCAGATCTCAAGAGATCATATATTTTCTTATATATAAATTCATCGTATTTTATTTAATTTATTAATTAAATTTACAAAAACATTTCAATACGTTTTCAATAATTTATCGTTATAATAAAAAGAATAACAGCAACATCTTCAGAATCAGAAAGTTCAAGTGATTCTTCTTCAGCATCGTCTAGTTCAGGTGATTCTGATAGTGAAACAACAAACTCTACTACATCATCGGAAGAAGAAGAAGAATCAGCGAGTTCATCATCATCATCATCATCTCCTGAAAGAAGAACATATAGTAGAAAAAGAAAACGTAGATGACATAATTGTTACGCACTATTTAGATTTATTGGTTATAATTTGATTATAATTAATCTGTTTGTAGGAGAAATTTTGTATTAGATTAATTAAATATTAGATTATATTAGATTCAATTAAGAGAAATTTAAACAATTTGAAAATTAAGTTTATTATATCGAATGAGTTTATTTGAATGACGTTATTATTTGACAGAATGAAATTCTGACTTTCCTACGTTTTATTATATGTATTCTCTAAATATACATTTTATTTGTAAATATACATTTTATTTGCAAATATAAACTTTATTTGCGTATGTAAAATGGATATATAATAAGAAATTGAACGAATTAATGAAGGGATTAAAGAAAGGAAGGGAATAAGGGAATAGAAAATTGAAACAAAATAATATAATAAATAAAATAATATAATAAAATAATATAATAAAATAATATAATAAAATAATATAATAAAATAATAAATAATTAAAATAATATAATTAAAATATAGTAAAAATAAAATAATAATAATTCGCTATGATAAATATTCAGGTAATTCATCCCCAGATATTTCATCAATCTCATCATCCCATCGGTTTTGTTCTCTATATTGTATATTTCCTTCTATTCTTCTCTCCAATTCAAGATTAATATTACTATCATTAAGTGGTACAAGATTACGAATCATTATTTCTTTCTCAAAATTTACGCAAGAAACTGACGCCTTTCCCAGATTTACTACAACTTTAATTTTATGATATATATCAATATAATGTGTAGTACAACCACATCTTAATAATCCAAATGTTCCAGTCTTATACCCAACTCTTCCAAATCCATTATATCTATCACATTTACTTAAATCTATTTGCATTTTGATTAAAAATTCATTAGGTGAATCGGGATTTACTAATATTTGATTTCCGGAAACTTCATGACTAGCTACATAATTACTATTTATTTTAGCTAAATTATCAACTTTTAATCGAGAATATTGTTTTAATTTAATTACAACTTTTTTAACTATGGTTCTCATATCAAATAATGTAAATTTAATTGGTACATTAATTATTCCTGAATTAATATCAAATATTGTATGATTAAGAGTTGCTTGACATTCAATCATTTTGGATTTTTTAATCATAGGTAATATTTCATAATTTTGAATGGGAGGTAGAAGAATATATCGATTAATATTTATCCAAACTTCAACTATTTTATTAGCTGATTTTTTTATCAAAGATTTTCGATGAATTCTAGCTTTAATTGAATAATTTATTTTTCCAACTGTACTCAATTCTGCTTCAATAAAAGGAATTGAAGTAGGTGAAACTTCAGGAATATTAAATTCAAAAGGTAAATCTAATTTAGTTATAGATTCAAAATTTCCTTGAGGTGATGACCATAATTGTTTAGTTAATCGAACAAATTTATTAATTCCTCTTAATGTGACACTAGTTCCAGCTTCAGTTTTTTGAGGCCATTTTACCGAAACTTTTCCTTTAAAAATTAATTCAATTAAATCCACTTTTAATGGATAATCATCAGAATATCGTAAATGAAAGAATCCGCATACTTTTGAAGGTTGAACTCCTAAATAACCTTGTTGAAATTGGGTTTGGTTGGGTAAATGTGTGAAATATGCTTTAGAACTATAATGTCGATAATCATCTTTTGGTGGACGCAATTCTCTATTATTACTTCCTGACATGTTTAATAATTTATTTCAGTATTACATTTTCCAGGATGCAGAAAGAGAGTAAAAGGAGAACTTTATAACAAAAAAAAATTTTTTTATTTATATCCCATTTTTAGATAATTCAAATTTCTTTATACTCATATGATCAAACACTAGCGTTGTACATCTTCTGTCCCATGTCAACATTGACCAATTTATTTCAGCAAAAGATGATACAAATATTTGTTTGTTTCTTGAATATTGAACATATTTGTTCATATTTGAATGACTAATTTCTTGGCGATAAATATTGTGTTCCATGTCAAGATCAAATGGATTTAAAGAAATAATTAGTATTTACCATATAATTGTTAGTAAATATGATATAGCTGAAATAGGAAAAAAAAATATGTAGCAAAAAGAGAATTAGTGAAAGTTGCTTTAAATAGTAATAAATAAATATCCTAAGGCAGAAAATTTTGAATGGACAATAAGTTTCTCACCTTTTTATCAAATTGATTTGGAGTCATAAATCATCTATTCTTCATACAATTTTTCATAATGGAGAATAAAAATTCGTTGTAATAAAATTATGAATGGAAAAATATTAAAGGTGATATTTGTACTTTTAGAATGGCAATGATCATTTTCATAATTTAAGATTTTTTGAAGCAATTAAACTTGATTGATATTAAATGTTGGTTGGCTTCTTATTGATACAGTGCAGAACCTCTATAATAGGAACTTAAATAAAATTTAATTCAATGATTAGAATTTTTTTATATTATAATATTTGAATATACATTTGGGAGAATCTATTTATAAAAAAATTTTTTCTCAATTTTCTTGGTTTATGTAAGTATCACATGATGCAATTTTGACTAATCAAAATTCAAAATATATTCATGTAGTGGGAACAACATAATTATGTTGGTCCCACTTAGTTTAGGTTATTCCCACCCAGGTGTAACATCAGGAAATTTTTAAGGGCGGATAACTCCGTAAGTTTTCGGGATGTAAAATTTCCGTAAATTTTTGCATAAAT